TTTTGTAGGGTCGTACCCTAAACCATACTTTAAAGGATTATCTTTGAAATCAGGTGGCTCTTTTATTCCTTGAGCATTCTTTCCGAGCCCCTGTTCTGGGTGATATCCATATCTTTTCATTATATGAGTCACCTTTATATTTCCGGGAAGTCTTTCTATGTTGGCAATTTCGAGTGCTTGAAAGGATGTTTCAAGAGCCTCTTCAACCGCATCCACATATGGTTGGACAGACGGTTTGCTGATTAGAAAGTCTTGTTCAGCTTGAACTGTGACGAGTTTATCATTTGTCACAAACTTGACTTTCTGGTGGAGCGTTGAGGGTATTGCCTTAGCGCTATGAATCCAAGGTCTACCAAGGAGACAACTATATGCTGGCGTGATATCCATCACGTGGAAGTCTATGTTAAAAATAGTAGGGCCAATTTGGATTGGTAGACTAATCTCTCCTACTACTTCACGTCTTGATCCATCAAAGGCTCGAACAATTGTATTACTCGGGCGCATGTGGGTTCCTTGTACTGTTATCTTGTCAAGTGTGCCTTTAGGCATGACATTTAAGGATGACCCATTATCCACCAGAACTTTGGAAATGAGATATTCCTTGCATTTGACAGAAATATGCAAGGGCTTATTGTGATTTGACCCTTCTAAAGGGAGCTCTTCATTTGTGAAGGTAAGATGATCATTGGTTGTAATGTTACCAATAATTCCTTCAAATTTGTCCTGGGATATTGCATGCAGAACGAATGATTCATTCAAAACCTTTAACAGTGCGTTTCGATGCGGTTCTGAACTCATTATAAGTGATAACAAGGTTATCTTTGCAGGAGTACGATTGAGTTGATTGATGATGGAGTACTCGCTTTGTCTTATGTACAGGAGTAACTCACTTGTCTCCTCCTTGGATTCTTTTTCCTCTTTGGCCTTATTTTTTGCCTTATCTTTAGGAATATTATCTTGTAATTCCTTGGGGGAGTATATTCTTCCACTTCTAGTCATGCCCCTAGTACCGGCTATGTTGGAGATATCTTGATTAACTGGTGATTCTTCTGAGTATCTCCAAGGTACAGCTTTATTTGATGAATAAGGGAAAGGAAGAGGCATGAATAAACGTAAAGGCGTTATAGCCTCTTCCCTTTTATCGATTGGAATAACCAATGGTGCTTGTTTGTTATCATCTTTTGGTCTATCAACCGTTGTAGATATTTTGATGACGAAAGGCTTCTTTTCCATTTACTCTGATTTGTGGAAAGCACATCAATTAATCCTTCCTTTTTATTATCTTTGTTATTAAAATGAGGAGGGATGTATGAATGTATGCAACTTATGAATGTAATAGACAGTTTAAGGAAAATCCTTTTTATTTTAACTAGAAAGTGTTTATCCTTCTATACAATACTTTGAAGCAAGTGTTGACAAAAACGGAGAAGCTTGAAGAAACCTATAGGTAAATTAGGCTTTCTACGTAATTCATCTTCAGCTACTCTCACATGATTTTTGAGCGTCTTAATTTTCTCATGTACTGCCTGACTCATATCTTCACTGTATCGACGAGCCTCTTTTATCTTTTCTTCTTGATGAACGATCAAGGCATGCTGTTGGTCAGACCTCTCTATTAGTTGGTCTCTTTCACGAAGTAATTGACCATACTGAGCTAATCCATCTCTTTCTTTATCATGTAGCTCCTCCAGGTCTTCTCTGTATCTTTCAGCGGTTTCCCACCACTTTTGTGCTTCTGACCGAGTTTCTGCTAGGTCATCCTGTATTAACTTGATCGTTTTTGCCTGTTCTGCAAGCGCACTCTCAAGATGTGCTATTTCGTCATTCATGTCCCAAAATAGACTATCTTGTTCAAGCCTCGGAATTTTCAGTGCTTGTTTAGTGTCTTCTTGATAATCAGCACAATCATTCTTAAGGCGCTCTATTTCATGGTCCTTCCTTTTACATTGCCTTTTTAGACCATCTATTAAAAGGGTTGCTTCTACCCTTTTATTTAAGGCATTGACCTGCAATTGTAGCTGTTCATTGACTAATGTTGTTGTGAATGTAGCAGATGGTTGGGGTATCCTTCTACTTTTCCTCCATTCTTCATATTCGTGGGACGTAGATACCTGAACCTTTCCAAGTTCTTTATCTCCTATATAGACTGGTCTTTCCCATGCTTTCCGGACAGCGGATACTTCTTCAAAGCTATGGGAGTAATGGCATAGACTCAGCCCTCTGAGCTCTTCTTGAGTTGGCACAGTCTGGGTTCTCATGAGTTGTCTCATAGCTATCTTTGGATAGTAAGCTATACAACCCCTGAGGCCTAGTAGTGGTATGCTCAGGTAATCTCCACATCGTACAAGAATATAACCGGGTCGGAACCAAGGGCAAACCCATGATACATGCTCTATGTTCCAATTTTCTAACTCGGTTTTCCATTCTAAAGCTTGATGATGCTGAAGAGGGATTTTTGCAAAACTTCTTAAAGGATCAGGGAATATGCCCATGTAGCTTGAAGCGTAGAAGTGAGTGATGCCCCATACATATAGTAATGAAGTGCAATATCTAAGTGTTTTCCCCTGTTTCTGTCGGCAAAAATCTACTGAAAGCAGGGTATCAGCAAGAATTGCAGGTATAGGACTCTTAGAGTATACATCACAGGCAAAGAATGCATCTATTGCAGCATGATCCACAACGTTCACATGAAATGGGAATAATATGATTCCGAACATTGCCAATGCTAGAGTGTTGTTGAAGGTAGACCAATCTTTCTTTTCAGAGAGATTAAGTGGTCTTCTATCATTGACATTTCCAACCTCGGATGTTCCCTTTTCCCTCTACGATGGATTGATGAGGAGGCAATCGTATAATAGTAGCAACCTTACTCACGACCACATACACTCCTGAGCAGACATAGACCCCGACTGACTGAGGCCATCTAACCATCAGTTCATATTCTTCTAAGGTTGGTACTAAATCGAACTGCGAAAACTCAAAGTAGTGTAGATTGGGATTCCAGAAGTGGACCAATGCTCTAATAAAGATAGGATCGATGCTGACTTTCAGGAGGTCAAGAATCCTTCCATAAGATTTCTCAAAATTAGCACTGACCTCCGGCGGCATATATGTACACAACTGCCTTAACTTCTCTACACGGCATAGAAGGATTTCCACTTTCTTTAACTGTCTATTACTGGATCCCTCCATTATCTAAAAGAAATGAAAATGCATGATATGAGGATGAGTCCTTGTAAATGCATGCATGTAAGTGTTTGTTTTTCTAAGTATTATCATGTTTTATTCTTAATATGATACATGATAGTACTTGGTTTTTTCTTAAAAAGAAAACTATCTATATGAATGTTTATGGATTTTGATGAAGAGAGTCCTATTTTCTTCTCTTATTATTTTTATGAACATATGTTGTATGAATCATAAGACTTTTGTCAAGAATATTTTTATTGTAAAAGATATTTTTATGGCTTTAATTTGTTTTTATATTTTTTATGACCCTTTATCTCTTCTGTCGGTCAATGTGGCTACTTAGCTTACAAAGAACCTGAAACCAGGCTAGCTTAACTGAAGACTGTCCGAGATAAAGTGGTTTATCTTATCACTTTTATGGTTTTTTAGGGTTTTACTATTTTGTTTGTTGTATGATTACCCTATGCTAATGCATCAATACAAATGCAACAAACGAATGCACACACAATCCATTCATCCACGAGCAGAGCCACGTTATTTTCCAGGTGGGGTTTTCCTGCAGAAACGTGCTTGGTTTAGGTGGTTCTAAACTGTTCTCACCAAGGCCAAAGGTCCCCAAGGTGCCCCCATTATAGGGACCTCTCAATCTCTCAGTCCTCGGGTCATGCACAGAACTCCGTGTCGACATCCTTAGACCAAAAGAAGAGAGTTATCACCTTGAGTTGGTGGTTTCCGACAACGGTTGTAGCCCCGTGTGCCAACAACCCGGTCGTATCTGCCACCCACTCCCTATAGGTATTCACTCTTGCCCCCGGGTATAGAGGGACTGTTGTGTGCAAGGGTTTTTGTGTGCAATTTATATTTCAGACAATTTGCAAAAAATAATCATACAACAGTTATTAAAGCCATACAATAAAACATACAACGGAGGGTAAAGGCGTAATTTCAAATATTTACTTAGTTTGAATTTTATCCGTCACTAAATGGGATCAACTCTCTAGCTTCCCCAGCGGAGTCACCATCTATCACCGCCGTCCGTTCCGACGTCTAGGGACATCTCGAACGTTTATGCGAGCGGTCGTGAAAAGATGGTTTAGACTCGCGTTTTATGTTAAAATATGTTCATTACTTCCGAGGTGCTCAACAACTGAACTATCCTCTAATAAAAGCAAGGTTTTTGAAAAGGAGTTCTTATGGAGTTGCCACCAATGTTTTGACCATAAACATTGGAAAAGGATAAAAAGGCTTTGATTTTAAAAAAAACCAAACTTGGCCATTATAACCAGAGTTAGGCAAGGGAGTTAGTTACGTGTGGGGAAGGTGTTAGCACCCCACAATGCCCCTTTCGGGTTCCCTATGACGGATTCATTCATTAAGTGCAGATTACGAGAAATTACGCTATTACCCTATTTTATTTATACCATATTCAAAAACGGCTATCTACATGATTTTATTTTATATTGCATACATAAGGCAATAAATAAAGCAATAAAAGAGAAGAGAATTGAAAAGAACCTCTGTAGCAAGCTTTGTATTTCAAATCTTTAACTGTGAGGATGCGTTTTGGCAATCCCCCGCTCTACAAAGACTCTCCTCCCCGAATACAATATCGACTCTACTAATTTTTTAAAGAAGAATCGAATGCTGGAATACAATTCCTTAACCGATTGTTACCTTTTTAAGGCAATCAGAGAGTTCATTCGAAATAGGGAGAGAAGACAAGTACTTGGAGTTGTCTGGGGTATGAAAAAGTGGCAAATGAGCCTCCTATTTATAGTGGCAGCTTGGGACGGCCGTCCGGGGCTTGGAAATCAAGGATGAGCGTCTGGAGAAGTTGGGACGGCCGTCTGGGATTTGGGACGGCCGTCCCAATCGAATTTTTGCACTGAGACGGGTGTCTCAAACTTGGGACGGGCGTCCCACTTGAAAATGGTTGTTTGGGACGGCCGTCTCGCCCTTGGGACAACTGTCTCAACTGTTTCTGCCAGATTTTGTGTTTTGGGACCCCCGGGAAGCTTTCCTTTCTTTATTCAGACGTCGATTGATGCCGATAGATGTCCATTGAAGTTTTATCTTCATATAGGAAGTCTCCTTGGCCTTTATTGAGATGCCAGGCGAGCTTTATCTTGTTATAGGAAGTCTCTTTAGCCTTTATTGAGAAGCCGGGCAAAATTAGGGGTCTACAGCGCCCCCTCGAGTAAAAGCTTCCACAGCCGGATATCCACTTCGTACTCCAGCTATTTCTTATAGCGGGAAAAGCATCTATATCAGTCTTCCTTAAATGAAGGATTTCCCATCGGCATTTCTTACAGGACTAGGGAAGGAAATTGAAAACCAGTGAGACCGCCATCTCTGCTCACTCTTGTTCAACGGTAATGGACTGAAAGGCTTAGGAGACATCGTCTGATTCAGGAGTGGCAAAACCGTTGACACCAGATGCTTGGGCTTCCACCTGTGCGCCAGAATTTAGCCGGCCTGGAGTTTGTCACGGATCATCGAGCCATCTCTTCGTACCGTGTCCAAGCACAAAGCCAAAGACTTCTGCAACAGTCTCACGCACCTGCTAGTCTAGTCGCCCATAAGCTACAACACTTCACCATATTAGCATAAAAACTCATGCCACCAACAAATGCTTCACTCTCAGACATATATCCATGCCCAACGTGGCTAACAGCACATCACTTTCAATGCCCAACATCTGGAGGTAAGACAGGGCCGACGCAAATCTCATCCATTGAGGGAAAGTGCCATGGTCCTTTGACCACTAGACTTCGTCTTCGCCACTGACACAAGGTCCATTTGACATGCCACGCGCATTCCTTTGATCCGTGCCTCTACCAAAGGTCACAATCTAGCTCTTGGGTTCCCAACCCTTTTTATTTATCGATTAGGCATTGTTCTTCACCCTGTATGCGACTGAAGTGCTTACCGGCGCCCTTTACACATCTTGGCCAACAATCCTTGCTTATTGGTCCTTCCGAGAAACCGAATCTCGTCTAGATCCTCTGATCCAAGGTAGCACCACACTCAAGTACTTTTACATATATTTTCTTTGTCTTCACCTACTTGAAGCGAACACAAGCTCCAAATTCGCCTTCTAAGCAATCGAGCACCAAAGTCGATCTTCCTGACAGGCCACATCCTCCATGGCCAACTCGTCAGTCTAACATTGACGAAGCAAGCATCTTTAAGAGTTTCTTTTAACGAGTCTCCCACACTCACAGGCACATTAGTCAGGGATCCCTATTGTAGGTGCCAAGGAATCAATGAAAGCACCAACCATGTCCTCATAACCAGTCCTAAAGCTACTAAATTCTTTTTGGCCGCCCCTCTGATCTGAACAAGCCTAACCATGGACTTCGTGAGTGGCTCAAGAATGGAATCCAATAAAATCTCACTTCTGCCCATGCTAATCTTCCTTGGGCATTCTATTTCCCCTTGCGTGCTGGACACTCTTGTCCGAAACAAAGAATATTCTATCCTCATAGGATAATTAAGGCCAACAAAGCCTACATTTGAAAGCCCGTCTGCTGGATACACCATTCCAACTACTGCTGAATCGAACAAAATTGCGATTCTGATCCAAATTCTTTTTTTTAGGAGTTGGGGAATCTAGGCCTAATCTATTAGAATAGGTCTAGGCTGATTTGGCAGGTCGAAGCCCAAAGACTTTCAAGGTCAAAACCATTCCGCTCGAAAACCAGCCTTCAAATAAAGTCAAAGACTGGCGGACCGCATACGCGCTTACTTTTTTTTTGTTTGATAGGCTGATCCCTAGGCTAAAACGGATATGCTTCTATCACACTCTTCTTTCGAGAGAATAGCCCCAATGACGATGAATTAGGGTTGTAGAGCGGGTCAATCCTTGGAGCTTTCTCCATGCCCGACAGAGAAAACTTGGTGCGAATCGGGGTACATACACTCCTGCTTGTCTAACTAATGTAATTCCACGCAAATAAATATGGCTGCCCGAAGAATCTGTAGCTGCTAAGAGGGTCGAGCCATAACTGATGTGGCGTAGCGGCGACTGGAATCGATCTGAATGAAGCTTCAAGCGTAGTTCTGGGGCTTCTCCTATACCCCACCTATATTATATGATATTATATTATATGGAGTGGAGGAAGATTAGGTGGGGAAGGTCATAGTGAAGTCAGCAAGCTGGAAAGTAGTCGCCCCTCTTTGATTGTGCACAGCCCCTGCCACGAGACACCTAATCAAAGAAGCGCCTTCCTCTCATCTTTTTTTTTTATAATTCAACATCCAGTTCATAGAGAACTGCCTACTCCCACCTCGACCGAGAAAGAGATCTAAGGCTTCTTTGAAGAAAGTAAAGCAGGAATAGATGGCCTGCCCCTAGCTCTAAAAAATCTCTATATTTTGCTATCAAAGGAGTGCTTTCATTCCCTGCCACCCGCTTTTATAATTGGTTGTTCCTTATCGGCATCTCACGAAAAAATCTTTCATGATCCATTCTTCAAGAATTGGATAGAGAATGGGATATTCCACTGGGAGGGAGAGGCGGGGGTGACATCAGAAGTAGGATCGTCGAACGGGACAAGCTGGGACATTCTCTTAAGCTTAAAGTCTTTCTTTCTTGGGATAAGTGGAACTGTTTACTTCTATTTGAACTACTCCGAATTCTTTTCACTCTTTATGACACTAGTTCAGTGGCATCTATCTTGCTCAGTTGTCTTCCTTTGGTCTGTTGATACTATCTTTCTCCCTCGGAAAACCGGAACTTGTAAGCAGAGTTATTCCCCAACTAGGACTTGCGGGCGAGCTACCCTTGGTTTAAAGCCGTGGTTGAGAAAGACTTTTCTTTACTAGTCGTTCCCTCTACCTGTCTACCGAGCTTACTAGTTCCGTTCATTCCCTACTGTAACTGTAAGAGCTCAGTTGACTACCTAGCTAAACACCCTTCGTCCAAGTATTCCACTGGTATCCTCTTGGTCGAGAATGGCTAGTTGCGTGGACTTTCATCTAACATAACGTGTTCTAGCTGAGCATGGGTAATCTCCAATAGCTGGGAGCAGAACCTTTCCCCCGAAACTTGTTGGACTCGAACTAGCACCTCTGCGCAAAAGACAGACCAGATGAACTACCTTTATTCGACTCGTGGCTTGACCCGGTTTGTTGTGTTAGAAAAGTAGTTTTAGATCAAGAGGGGGGGTGAATTGATCTTTGAAAGTTTTTCGCAAATAACAGATTATCTAATTCGAAAATTAAGTTTACTAATCAATTCACGAATCACAAAGCAATTAAACAATACAAGCGCAGCAACTGAAATTAAAAAGAGAAAGGTTAGGAAAGATTTCACCGGTAATTTTATACTGGTTCACCCAATACCAGGGCTACGTCCAGTCTCCAGCCAAATTCCAGCTGGGTTCCACTAGAATAGATGTTTTACAGACTCAACAATCTTACACCTACTCTAACACTAGAACCATTTTCCAGTTCCTGACTTTAACCTTTCCACCAAGAACCAAATTCCAGTTCTTGGAAACCTCTGCAACCAAATTCCAGTTGCAGAGAAACCAGTGCCCAAATTCCAGGCACCACACACAAGAACCAAATTCTAGCTCCTGTGCTCAACCTCTTACCAAGAACCAAATTCCAGTTCTTGATAACCTCCACAACCAACTTCCAGCTGCAGAGAAAACTTGTGCCCAAATTCTAGGCACAAACACAATACAAAGTAATGAAAATGAATTTACAAAGAAGAAACAAGAAAGCTCAAACCGGATTACGCTAATCCACAGTAAGTTTCTTCTTCAAGGATGCAATATGCCTCAAGAAAGATTTCAAAAATAACTTCACAAAATAGTTGTAATTCTTTCTTGGAAAAAGTGCTCTAGTTGCTTGATTGATTGCTTTGTTTCTGTAAACACTGATATTCAATCTGTTGTTTCAAAGTTTCAAGCAAAACTGTTTTTAAAGAGAATTTTCAAATCTGCTACATTAATTAATCTGTTGAAAGTTTGTTTTAATCTGTTGAAATAGCCGTTATAATCTGTTAAAAGTCCTTTCAACCCATTAATGCGTTCTTGCTTCTTTAACGAGAATCGTTTTAGCTTATACGACCACTTTTATATCAGCTTAAAACATTTTACAAACTTTTTCTAAGTATAAAACAATCGATTGAATCACGTATTAATCGATTGATTTGTTTAAAAACCTTCTTATAAAACTTTCCAAGTTATTTTAGCTGATATAAAGTCGCTTTAATCGATTAAAAACCTGCACGTAATTTTTCTAAGTTGTTTTAATCGGTTGAAATACGCTTTAATCGATTGAAACTCTGTACAAAAATTTTCCAAGTTATTTTAATCGATTGAAATGCGTTTTAATCGATTGAAATAAGTCTGATCGGTCATAATTCAATTCTGATCGATCATAACCAACTCTGATCGGTCATAATTTCATTCTGATCGATCATCCTGACTTCCAAAGTGGTTTTAATCGATTGAAACGTGTTTTAATCGATTAAAATAAGTCTGATCGCTCATTTTTAAAGTCTGATCGATTATATTTTATTCTGACCTGTCATATTCGAATTCTAATCGGTCATAAAGGGTTTTAAAGGGTTTTAATCGATTAAAAGAAGTTTGTATCGATTAAAATACTGTAAAAACACTTCTTTAAACATTCTAAGTGATTTTAATCGTTTCTTTCAAAGCAATATCAGTTAAAAACATTATTAAGAAAGTTCTTTGTCAAAATGCTTTTGTTTTTGATTTGTTTAAAACTATTTTTGAGGCATTTTGCAAAATGAATGAAGAAGCTTTATGCAGTGGAAAAGGTAAAGTGGTTTTACCTAAGCTTTCTGTTAAGACACACTAAGTCTTCAGCTCCATTCTTCTGAGTGACTTGTTTGACTGTTGCAGAGTTGACCTTTGACTTTATCTTTGACTTCATCAAATCACTGAGATCTTTGCTAGGATCACTTTCAGTCTCCCCCTATTTGATGAAGACAAACACCATTTTGAAAAAACAATCTCTGCAAAATAAGTCACTTGATAATGTAGTTAAGTGAGAAATATAAGAATGTAATAAAGTTTTATTTCTCCCCCTAAAACTTATTTCTCCCCCTAAACTGTTGCTCTTAAATTTATCTTAAAGTGATGCAACTATTTCTCCCCCTTTTGACTTCATCAAAAATAGGGAATAGAAGAGAGAAGAATAAAATGTAAAGTTTCGAAAATATGCTCAAGTTTTTGAAAAATACAAAGTGAATCAATATTTCACTCATGAAAAGAATCAATTAAAGTTGATTCAAACTTATCTCCATTAACATGTTTGTAATGAATACAATTAACACGTGTAAAGATAAGGGAATCACGCTTTAGTAGC